CGTACTTCGGTCTCTCAGGTTTCTCGCGGAAAACAAGCTTGCTCGCTAACTAGCAAACAATATTGCATAAAAGTTCTATAGAATGTATAGAAACGTCAAAATGATGCGATGCCAGCGCTGCGACGAGTAGTTCGCGGAACTGATAATATTCAAATCAACCGTTAAATTCGTGAACGAAGATACACAATAAAGTGTTACGTCTGTTTGTCTGTGGTTGAATTCACACCTATCTGAGGATTCTGGAAGTTCTGCTCGGGCACTTTGACTTGAACCGTGGAAGAGGCGGGAGTGCGAGTGTACTTAAGTGTACTTAGTGTCACGGTAAGTTTTCGTGGCTGTAGTGTTCAAACTTTAGGTTAAAAGTTACGTGCGGTCAACTTATTGTACGTGTAAAGTTCGTAGAAAGCCAGCTTGAAGTTTGCAGTGCATTGCTTCAAGCGATAGATAGCTTTGCTCAGCACACCGCAACCAAGGAATTAAATCGCGCTCTCTAGACCACACACTTCAACGTCAAGGTTCCTGGTTCGGGGGAGAATTCGGAAGGGAGACATCGTTTAACTGATCTCCGGCAGAGCGTTGTCCAAATCCGCCAATGTCAACCACGTGAAACCACGTACATTATTCATCTTCGAAGATCCCCGCGTTGACATCTGCGCCACCGGCAATCGTCGCTAGTTCAGTACCAACTCGAAGGTTCGATTGGAAATTTCTCTAGGGGCTGCTAAGCCAGCATTTTTCTGTTGTCTGCTATTTTTCACCCACACACTTACAACAAACATATGCGGTGTACGCGACAGCTGTAAAATATGCAATACAGCCGCAAAGTTCGTACATAGAGGTCCCGAAGAAACGTGCTCAACTTTTTGGCTCAGCTCTGGTACTATCTCCGGTCCCAAGCTAATCGATGCACCCCTCGAAACATAAGAAAATCCACGAACCCCTCATTTTATCTGTCAAAATTGCATGGCGAATCAAAACAAACATAGTGTAGTACTAGAATTTCGACTAGAATGAGGTACGTTAATCGATTTGCTTGGGACCAATAGGCTAGTCAAGTAGTGAGCCAATTTTAAATCGTTAGTTTCCACCGGTTCTTATAACTCTCCAGTTCTTCTATCTGGTCAGGATCTAGAGATATTTTATATGCGAGAATTTTTGCATGTATACAAGTGTCGCGGTAGTAATAAAATTCTGAACTATTTTGCACCAAATAGTAGGCTTTGATCTCCTGAACAACTTTCTATCTGGTCAGGATCTCGAGATATTCCATGGTGTAACCAATTAAGTCAAATCCCACGTAGTGTAGATACCGTTTACGTGGTTTCCATTTACATTTTCCCTATTATCCGCATTTGTTGGGGGTTTACTGAAATCAAAGTTTAGATTGTTTAGTTCAAAACAGGTTTTTTGAGGAATACCCGTTGGTCTTAGATCGATTGGTAGCTCGACAGCAAAATGACAATGGAAAATTCACACTGTTGTACCATAGAGGTAACTCTAAGACCACTGGGTCCCGAAGAAAATCATTATTATTTTTGGCTCACTCAGTACCAGAACAACGGTCCCAAGCAGTCCCAAGCTATTTCACTCACCCCTGCATGTTCTGCATGAATCCACACACCCCTGATGTTATCTGTCAAACTTTCATAGCGAATCAAAACAAACATAGTGTAGTAATAGAATTTCAACTAGAATAGGGTACGTTAATCGTTTGCTTGGGACCAATAGGCTACTAAAGTGGTGAGCCAATTTAAAATCGTTAGTTTCGTATTGATTGTTGGTTGTACTACGCGCGAGTCAATCTTGGGTCATCTTTTTTATCAGTGTACCGCAAGTGTGCTAATTGTACTACACTCTAAAAAATCTTCACGTTAATGCTACGTGAAAAATCACGTAACCTCTTTAACACCCCACTTCGATAATTTCCACGTGGCTCAATGTAAAACTTAATTTTGATAAAATTTACGTGATTTCCATGTTCGTTGATGCTAAGGGAGTCATGTACACTCTACAACATATACACGTCCAATCTACGTGAAAAATCACGTAGCTCATTCGAATGCTTCAACTTTCATGTTTACATGATGGTAGTAAAATTGATAAATATATCATGTCATGTTCACTGGAGCTGAATGTGGCAACATTTCAACTTCTATGTGCGGTTGTGTGATTGTGGTGTGCTTACGTAAAATGAGTTTACGTGATTTACATGTATAAAAAAGTGATTCAATATGGCGGAATCGATTTTATTAGTGCCTACTGCAACTGTTGGAAGGTATTTTATTTATATTATTTCGCTTTATTTGAAATCAGTCATACACTGCTCTTTAAATTTATTTCGATTTCAGAGATTACAAGATACAATTTACGGGCATTTTCCAAAGATCTATTTAGCCTGACTCGTTAGTAAACAGTGCAAACGGATATTGCATCTGAATCGAGATCTGAATTGTCATGATCAATAAAGTGTTGGAGCGAAATGGTTAGTATTAACGTTTCAATGACATATTAATAAAAAAATGCTAACAATTTTTAAAAATTCTTTTCTTGGACAAAATGGACAACAGCATTAGTTAGATCCGGTAAAGATCACTTCAAAATAATCACGTCAACATTACGTGCAAATCCATTTTGTAATTATAGTCGAAACCACGGAACGTAAACGTAAGATGAACAGTACTTTCCAGTAAATAACATTTCAAAATCACGTAAACATTACGTTATAACCGCTTCTAACTTAAGTGGAAATCACGTTATATTTACCTTACTGTTCACGTTGACCGCTAAATGGGAATATTTTTGGCTACATGGTATTAACGTAAATGTTAAGTGAAAAGTAGTATGGACTAGTAAGCTACCTATGTTTTCACGTAGATCGGACGTGCATATTTGTTGGAGTGTAGTCATAGAGCAAGCTGTGATTGTTTGTAAAATACCCATCCCGGCAACCCCATTTCTAGACCAACAATTGAAATGGCCTTAACTCCATTTTGTAAACAAACCTTGTAAGGCCATTTTCTCGCGAACCGAAACCTTCTTTCGCAAACCGAAACCACAATCGTGTAGAGGAGAATTTTCCCTACCTGTTCATTATGTTGGTTTGCCTTTGCGGACTTCGGTTCGCAACCTTGAATGTTTTGGTTTGAAATCGCAAAGAATAAATCGGATTGAGGATGACGCGGGAAGTGGCGGGTGTGCGAAATTGGGTTTTTTGTGTTTATAGGAGAATAAAAGTCCTGTGTTTTAGGGTTTTATAATGCCCTCAATGCAGAACAGAAACCTAGCCTTTCGTGATGTGAAAAGCAACGGTCTATCATCGGCCGGAACGAGTTGGAACTATAGTCGCTATATTCATAGTCTGGCGGATAGAATCTCGGGAACCAATTGAGCTGTCATATAGCGGAACCAATCGAGCAAATCACGACCAACAACAGAAAAGTGCACATCAGCTATGGCGAACCAAATTTCGTAACCCGTTTTCTCGTGACTCAAGGCTCGCCTACACAAACTTACACTATCTTTTGGTTGTGGAAAGTTTCCTCTATCCGATGATGCTGGTAATTTACCTTCCATTGGCGAGGAAATAATAATCAACGTTTTTTATAAAAGTTGATAGTACCTTTTCAATTGTTGGTCTACAATATATTGAATTGGTTCCGCTTTTTGATAGACCGAAATTCTATCCGCCAGACTATGAATATAGCGACTATAGTTGGAACCGGTGGGGAACATTGTTGGAGATCGACTATACTGCTTATAAAAGAATAATTCTTGATAGAGCTGGAATTAGGGCGTAACAGCTTTTGTAAACAATTACTTCTCTCGATGATTTCTCGAAACTCAAGGCACGCACACGCCAACCAACATAACCAACGGGAATGCGAAGTCTTCCGCTACCCGGTGGTGAAGTTGATTTGAGTGGGCGAGCCTTGGCTTTCTAGAAATCATCGAGAGAAGTCATTGTTTACAAAAGCTGTTACGCCCTAATTCCAGCTCTATTTAGAATTGTCCTATCTTTGCTTGATTTCCTATGCATATGGGATAGTTATGCTTTCATGAGCAGTATTATAGAGGATGATGAATAGACTTCGGTAGTTTGTTTTATGTGAGTTGCAGCATTATTTGAATTAAGGGTACTAATGGGGTCTGATTAACTACCTCTTTCTCTTGAGCCCACTCTAGAACCTACATTTCATATTTAGATCTAAAAGTCAACCGAGAAGTACACTGATGGTCTGAGTTCCTCTAGTATATTCAATTAGAGGATGTTCATGAATATACAGTCAAACAGCACGTAATGTTGTGATCAACTTCAATGACGGTTGTCCAGCAGTACTCCCATTTTCAATCAAAATTTCAACAATCAAATGCCTACGAGATGTGCCGATGAATGTGCCCAAGCTGTGCCAAATCTAATGTCGGCACAATGTGCTGAGTGACTTACCCTTTGGCGCGAGTTATTAATTTTTGAAAATTCAAACCCACTTTTTCCGTTCAAAACCAATTACGTTCATTGCATTCTACTTGCCTACCGGAACACAACGAACTTATTTCGGTTTTAAATGCCTATATGAAACCGGGAGAAATATGCTGGGCACCCGAGATAATAAGGGAATAAAATTTCTTAAATTCAGTGGCCATTGACAGATGCGAATTTCGCCTACTACTTGCAGGCTTCATCAGTGTCGAAACTCTTTAAAAAAAAACAAAAGAAATGTCTAGGTAAACCTATCAATATTCAGGTACGATTCACATTCATAGGTATTTGTTTTTGCTATAATTAAAAAAAAATGTTGTTACAGTCCACTGACCGTTTAGCAGATTCAAATATAATTTTTCCAAGTATTATGCCAAACGGGGCGACCCAATAACGCTTATAAAACAACGGTTTTACGGTCAATCGTGTTTGTGTCTTCTGTGCACTAATTCCTTATGAACCATGGACAGGGTTGAAATATTAAAAACAGCCTTCTGTACGTTGCATTTTTCCTTCGTTTCAGGAACGGATGAACCTGGTTGATCTCATGTGTGAATTCGTGGAGGCTATGAACCCCACCCTGCATTTATCGCGGTAAGCTATCCTAAAACATAGAATGTCCCCATAAGTCCGCAACTCAATGCATCCATTTCTTCTACAGAAAACCGGAAATTCTTAAGGATCGTGATCTCTCCGGTGAGCTGAAGGACGTCTGGAGCGCGGTGCAGGCTTGCCGCGATAAAGGACGTGTCGACAGCGGTCCACCGGAAAATCTAGTCGTCTACACTGAATTTGGGCCCGAAACGGCCCCGTCATACGAGCAATCTCAACAACAGCAAAGACACCAACCTCAACAGCAGCAGCACCTTCACTACCAGCAACAGGAAGATTTCCAGCTCCGGCTCGGTCCAAACCAGTACGACCATCATTCATACGAACAACAAACGCAGCATCTTCATCAACACGGCCGACAGTCGTCGGGTGACCCCTACTCAACCCGACCTGCCCATCAACCACTGACCCATGACTACTATAATAACCCTAGCAGCAAACCGCAGCCGCAAAAGCATCAACAAAGTGCAATTACAAACAACAGTATTGAACCGAACTCAGAGAAACAACATCCAATCGATGTCCCCGATAGTGCCAGCAGCAGCAACAGTGAACAACTGAACAGCAACAGCAACAGCAGCAACAACAACAGCGTTGACGATTTGATCAAAGAAACCGACAGTCTGAAGCTCTCTCCTGCAGCCAGCGGAGGAGTCTCGACCAAATCTAACGGTCTCACACTGCCAACCGGAGGTGGGGGTGGCGCACCACCGTCTCCTGCCACAGAGAATACCGCAGCGACCTCACCATCATCATCATCATCATCAGCCAATAACGATTCCAACCCAGTGCCAGTAGCTTCCAAGCAACAAACATCACCCACTTCGCCAACGCAACAGCAGCAAACGGCGACGGTCAGTCCAACGGCAGCCACGCCGCCGACTCCCCAGAAGGAGTCGAAGAATTCCTCCAGCCATAACTTTTTCCCGATGTTCCGATCTTCCAAGTCGTCGTCGTCGTCGTCGAACAGTGATAAGTCTTCATCCCACCACCATCACCATCACAACGATAAGGACAAGGACAAGGATGGCACGGGCGAATCGACGGCACCGGATACTCCCGTCAAGACGAGTAGCAAAAAGAGTGGACTGAACTTTTTCCGACGGAACAAGTCGTCGGACAGCAAGAAGGAACAACCGTCGACGCCGACGAAGCAGGTGGCACCGGTGGCCTCGCAGCAGCAAACGACGGCGGAAAACAACAAGCTGAACCTGCTGGTGGACGAAAGTCTAATGCACCACCATCACCACATGGAGGGAAACAATGGAACGGGTGAGATTATCGAAAACAGCACCGCGACCATTGCGGCCAAGTAGAGAGGGAGAGAGAGAGAGAGAGAGAGAGAGAGAGAGAGAGAGAGAGAGAGAGAGAGAGCGAGAGCGAGAGCGAGAGATGCGTGCGAAATTTGTGATAGGATTGGCTGACTGCTGCCGGAGAAAAGGTGTGTGTGTGTAAATAGCACGGATATAGGAAAGGTAAGTTTGATTGAATTTATCAGGAAACCTAATTGGGAGAGATTTTGCTCGTTAGTTGCCGCTGCTACTATTAATAGTTGATGTTGGTATGAAAGGAACTTCGATCAGATGGCTTCGGGGTGGTGAGCAGTTTTGATAGAGTCGGATAGGTTCATTTCTTAATTTCGACACCCCAAATGCGTCGCTAAATCATACCGAGCAGACATATGCTGAATGCTGAGTAATAGGTGAATATTGTAAAAAAAAATATTCTTTCGCTAAGTCAAACAAACTTGGCTACATATTCGTATTACTTTTTGGGGTCTCTTAAGTGATGCGATAGGCGCGGAATGGAATTACCTTCATTTGTACACAATTGTGATTCAATATGGAAAATAGTTGTGTTCGTCGTGAATGAATCTCAAAAAGTACCAGTCACTTGATATTTTGACAAAATGCATTCGAATCTTTTGAATTGATTAAACAATCGCCTCTATCAAACATGGCCATCAACCCGAAGGGAACCAAAACAAACATTACCAACCGAATTGAAACTTACTGAGAGCTTAGAGCTTTTTCTCAACATTTTGAATATACAACTACCAACATTATAAAAAGAAACAATGAAAATGAATATACAATAGCTATGTTAGCTATCCCGAACAGCAACAAAAGTAACGCAACTCCAATACACTAGAGGACGAGAGATTTTACTGTTATCCCGATGGATAAGCTAGCGCGACAAAGGAAACCGAATATCAAAAGCTACCCACACAAAGGGGAAACAAAATTCAAAATCAATCAAAAAGCATGGTTTTGGTTCATTTTTAAATGCAAAATCGCTTGAACTGATTAATTACGGGAGCTATTCTCGCTGGTAGTAAGCGTTTTGCGATTTCTAATTTTTGCTTTTTTGGAGCTTTTACACACAAGTTGAACACCCGTTTTTCTGTACTACACTATTTAGAACTTAGTTTGAGCGTGCGATGTTTTGCGTATCATATCTTAGGAGAACGAGTGTGGATGAAATCCGAATTGTGCATTTGGGTAGATAAGCTGCCATTTTTTCCGTAAACTCAAAGCAAGTCGTTGAGCAGCGTCGATCGATAGGAAGGCGGAAAAAGGACTAGAACTGTATTTAATAAACAACAAGAAAATACCTACTTAGCGACAATTGCGACATTAGATAAGTAGATTCTTTGAATGCAGAATGTAGATCAGAACAACGCAGGCGCAGTTTCTTAGTGAACTAGTGATTGCTAGTCGAAATTCAAATAGTCAACTATCTGCGCAATTTACGACTACACTGAAGATGTTTGTTTAGCATGTATGTACTACAAGACACATCCCCATACATACTAGTTACTACCTACTACCTACACAGTTCCGATTAAGTATATTAGGTGAATTCTATAGGCTAACTATTCGACGAACGAACTATCGGGAATGTCTCAATCACTGCCTTATTTTCATCCATTATTCGATATTTTAGTAAGGAAGGAATTCAACCGTTTTTCTAATCGTGGTGGTTCGATTGTACATCTTTTGCGCTGGGAGGAGAAGTGCTTCACGAGAATGTGCCATTTCATCGAATACATTTCGGGCTACGGATAAGAATAGAACATAAATACTTGAGGAAAATCATTTGAATAAACATTCTTTTCTGATATTTTCGGAGGCGCGGGCGGATTATTATCGGTCGGGTGGTGAATGACCTGCTCAGTCTCATTGAAGCCAAAAAATGGAAGGTCATCGTCCTCATCAAGGTGGTTCTGCATTTTTGGAATTTCATCACCTATTTCGGACAAGGGTATATCCGATACATCGGCTGGCATGCAATCATCATCGGTGAAAACAGACCTATTGAAAGGAACAATTCCTGCTTTGCGAAATCCAATGATTGTAACCGATGCTGATAGGCCGTTCCGAAAATTGCACTTCATTCCTTTATTTGACGTTGGTATCTGTTCCGCAATCTAGTGCCAATCACCGACGGACATCGATTGCCATCCAATGACGGCAATCGAATGTGCAGGAAGGCAGCTTCCATACCTGCGTAGGATATCGCACCTATTTCAACACACACCGACCTCGGCTGGGGATTGAACCCAGACCCATTGCAGGGCTGTTACACCTGGCACGGATTTCGCGAATTTTACGGATTTGTCGCAAGTCACACCGAATTTACGAACGAATCGTATATATACGAGTAATTGCCATGTATACCGGATATTCTAGGTTCTCCAAATAGTCCTGGAGTTCAGTTGATTTGTTCTAGTATATCGACCAAGACTCCAATAAAGTCTGTTGTATCGAAATATGTCCAAACAGATTCAAAGTGTCTATGTGGATTGTGACCGACCTATTGCTACGTATAGAAGATGTTATAGGTTCTGAAATCATACTGGAGATCAGATTATTTTTCTACTACATTACCCAAGACTAATTCAATATATGTAGTATCGAAATATGCCCAAACAAATTTGCAGTGTCTATGTGGATCATGCCAACCTATTACCGTGTGTGCCAAATGTTCTAGGATTTCCAAATCGATATTTTGATACTGCAGATATTATCCTAGTCTTTGTTGATCTAGTAAAACAAATCATCTGAACTGCAGGACGATTTGGAGAACCTAGATCATCTGGTACCGTGGAAATAATAAAAACAATATCCATATAGACACTATGAATCTGTTTGGACATATTTTGATACTACAGACTTTATCCCAGTCATGGTTGATCTAGTAGAATAAACCATCTGAATTCCAGAACAATTTGGAGAACTTAAAACATCTGGTATACTTGACAATAGTTCATGCATGATCCTCATAGACACTGTGCATCTGTCTGGAAATATTTCGATACTAAAGACATTGTCCCAATCTCGGTTGATCTAGTAGATCAAATTATCTGAACTCCAGGACATGTCTGTCATCGGTGAAGATAAAAAAGAGATCGCCCTTTTAAGGTGAATCGCTGTGACATACTTATTCTTGGAACCACTTCGAAACAAATATGAGCTTCTACGATACGTGCAACATTAAAATTGTTACTCCACGTTTGCTTCACTGCAGCATACGTGAAGTACCAAATTTAGGTGAAATAGGGCACCGCTTTCCGAGGTTTGTGAAATTGAAAATTCGAAGTGGAAGTGCATGTATAGCCTACGTGGCGGCGACTTTTGGACTCTACAAGGAATCACCTTTTAAACCTTCTCTGTCGACAGTGAGCATTAGACTGATGCAAAATTTGAAATTTTCGTTCCACAGTGCTTAAACGGTTCCAAATTGGGTGCTGCTTAACCTCCCAAAATTTGAACTACTTTAGTAAAAAAACTGACTTGGCACAAATCATTTCAAGTTTATATGGGAATTACCATGGGAAAACTTATGTTTTTGTTCATATCTATCTAACAATTCACCACACCACTATGCTTTTAAAAATGATAGCATTGATTATAGCAAATTTTGACAGCTACAACTTTGTTGAAAGCTACTTTCAATCAAATATAAGGAACAAAATTTATTAATGATTCAAGTCACTGATGTCCTACGATTATGCTCATTCAACTGTTCAGCAGGCAACATTGGTGTTTCTGGTGCGAAGAATATAGCACAAATATCATGGCTACTATGTCACACTGCAGAATACAGTGTTGCCCACAGAACAGCTGCTTAATCATGCCATAAGATTATCAATCTCTTAAACAATTAATAACAATTCAATTTGATATTTGGCTGAAAAACGATATCCCGCAAAGTTGTAGCTTATTAAATTTCCCGTACAAATAGCTATAGAAATTTTCGAAAAAGCAATATGGAAAATGGGTAGAAGACAATGAACAAAAAGTTTGGTTTTCCCATAGTAATTTTCATATAAACTTCGAATAGTTTGTACCAAGTCAGCTTCTTACCAAATGAGTTTAATTTTTGGGAGGCTAATCAGGACCTGATCTGAAACCGTTTGAGCACTGTGAACCGAAAATTTCAATTTTTTGATCTGTCTAGTGAGCATGCGAGTTTCTCTTTTAATTGCTACAGCTAAGCGAAGCAATTTTCTAGAATTTGTTCAATGCAGAGTTGTAACAGGTTGTACTGGCTATCAAAAGCAACAGCAAACGCACCGAGAAACGTTAATTCTAGCGAGTTATTAAGAAAAGAAAAAATCGATGAAGAGAATCGATCATCGCGTATACGCCCGTATGCATGCTCACTGCCATAATGTAGTTTTCGTGTTTGCGGTGTAGCTACACTGGTGCTACACCACCGAACACCGAAATAATTCAGAGTGTAGCTATCGGTTGCACCTTTGTTTACAAACAAATGATGATGAGCTGTCAATGACTCGCGCTTATTGCTGCTTACACACACCGATGTAGTGTAGCAAAAACGAAAACGACATAAGAAAACGAGGTGCAACGGAATCATTTTTGCGTCGATTCAACTCTCAGCTTCAATCAAGGTTTCAACTTTACACGTTGTGAATAGACTCGCAATATCAAAGGAGCTTGTAAAATCAATATCAAGCATTATATTTTGCTCCAATATCACGCGTGATATTGAGAGCGTATGAGTGCGGAAATATCGACAGTGAGTGCATAAGTGCAATAGATTCTCTTCATCGATTTTCTCTTTGAATTGCTACAGCTAAGCGAAACAATTTTCAAGAATTTGTTCAATACAGAGTTGTAACAGGTTGTATTAGCTATCAAAAGCAACTGCAAACGCCCCGAGAAAAGTTAATTCTAACGAGTCATTAACAAAAGAGAAAATCGACGAAGAGAATCGATCATCGCATCTACGCCCTTATGCATGCTCACTATTGAAATATCAATTTGCTAATGATCATGCCATCACTGGTCAAGGGATTGTACACTGTACCAAACCACCGTCCTCTGTTCGAATGAAACCTCAGACTAGAGCTTCCATCCCGGGATGTTCCGCGATGAAAATCCCGGGATTGTGACATTTTCCGGGACTACCGAATCCCGGAAAATAAATTTATAAATCCTGGGATTGCGTTAATCCCGGGAATTTTTTTATCACTCTTTTACCCCATAAAATCTATCTTGGAATATCTGTAGCAGAATCCAGAACTTTCACATCTTATGAAATATATCTCTTCCCTTCGTTTGTCATTCATTCTGATTTATCGAAAGTATGGCACACAGACATCCCTTTTTGTAGGGGAAATGACGGCTTCGGCATGACATACTATTTTCGGCAACCCAAATTGAAACACTATTTTCACTGGATTTTCTTACGAAAACACTTCGCTGAATGCATGTAAACGATTCTTTATGCTTTCAGCTTCAATTTGATTATATTTTTACCACTGAGAAAAAGCAATCTAGCAAGGTTTTCTTGAAATGCAACACACGCACTACAAATTGTAGCTGATTTCGAGTTGCCGATAATAGAACAGCAGATTTACATGCAGTTCAAATGGAACGGTTGCCGAAGAAAAACTGGTTGCCGACAATACTCGCTCTCACTAGAGAAGATTGGAGCTTTGTAAAAGCGTTTCAAAACAGTTTTCGACAATTCTTTCGACTGAACTTGTTAGAGCAGCTGGCAGCAAAAGATTGTAAACAAACCAATACTGCATATGTGTGCGTTCCTTAGAGAAAAAGGCTATAGAAAGAAGGTCGCTGCTTAGGTTGCCGAGAATACGTAAATTCCCCTATATGATCGTTGTACAAGAAGCACTCGTGAAAAATACGACCTAGCATTGAAGCGAACCGTGACCATTTTTATTAAATTTTATAATCGCGTATATAGATGGTACATAGACGAAAATTAGGTTGAGCGTTGTGAGATGTCCATCATTCATAGTTGATCGAAAAACCATTAAAATGCATTGTTAAGATGGTTGGAAGTACGTAGTACTAGTCTCAACTGATGAAAAAACTCAGTATTTGCAGATTTTAGAGTCCTTCCTCAGATTAGCGAGCTGAACCTTGTAAAATGCTTATTCCTTCTGGAGGAACTTCTATATGTAACCGTTTTCTATCCTGGCTTCCATAGCTCTCCATCGCT